ATCTTAGCCACAGCAATACATGTGTGTCACTGGCTTTAAATACCTTCCGGGATGCACAACTTTGGGGATGTGCCTTTTCCCTCTATGTCTAGAACTTTCTCGCCACCCCAAAAGGAAACTCTGTTCCCATTAACAGTCACTGCCCATCATCTCATCCCCTCATACCAGCCTGGGAAGGCACAACCATGAGACTTCTTCCTATCCCTGTGGATTTGGTTATTCTGGACATTCCCATGATTCCTTTAAACAGAATATGAAGACTTTTGCCTCATCCTGGTCCTTCAATTCTATAGCATTCTCCTCTCCCCCCCCTCTCTCTCTCTATCTATCTATCTATCTCTCTCTCTCTCTCTCTCCCTCTGTGTGTGTATGTGCAGTGTGCAATGTGTGTGTGTGTATGTGTGTCCTAGGGATGAGAACCATAGCCTTGCACATGCTAGGCAGGTGCTCTACCACTGAGCCACATCCCAGCCCCTCACTGGGGGATTCTAGGCAGGTGCTCTACCCCTGAGCCACACCCCAGCCCCTCACTGGGGGATTCTAGGCAGGTGCTCTACCACTGAGCCACACCCCAGCCCCTCACTGGGGGATTCTAGGCAGGTGCTCTCCCACTGAGCCACACCCCAGCCCCTCACTGGGGGATTCTAGGCAGGGTCTCTACCACTGAGTCACACCCCAGCCCCTCACTGGGGGATTCTAGGCAGGGGGCTCTACCACTGAGCCACACCCCCAGCCCCTCACTGGGGGATTCTAGGCGGGGGCTCTATCATTGAGCCACACTCCAGCCTCTCACTGGGGGATTCTAGGCAGGGGGCTTTACCACTACTGAACTATGCCATAGCTCTTTCTCCATCATTTTCCAGATACTCCCATGCTACCACTTTGCCCACCATTTCATTCCTTCTCACATAGAGACCACTATTTCCTTATCCACCCAGAGATGAGGAGAACGTGGATCCCTCTTCCATGGCTGATGGGAATGTAAATTGGGGCGGGTGCCATGAGACACAGCCTAATGCGTTAAGCTGAGCAAACAGCTCCACCTCTTGAGTGGAAAACAGGTGTTCAAACAGAAACCTACATAAGCTGTTTGTGACAGCAGCATTCATAATAGCCATGGGGGGGGGACCACCAATGCCTACTCTTGTATTTGAAGGAAGCATCCTCCTTATAGCGAGGTCACATTATGGCAGAACTTCAGACCCACAGCACTGAGGACATTCTTACCATGGGCAGCCCAAAGAACAGAGTCCAAACACAGAAGTAGGGTTATCTGCCCTCCCATCCCATGATTCCCAGAGCAGCCACTCCCGAGGGAAGGGTAAACAAAACCCTGCGTGCTACATTAAGGTATTTTGTTGAGTCTCTCTTTCTTAGATGCTTTTGTTCAAATCCTGTCAACTACCATATGGAGCTTGGTGGCTCTCAAAATCCATGTCTACCAAATTATAGAGCCAAACAGAGCTGTGCTCTAGAGACGGACCCGGCTTGAGGGCCAAACGCGACCTGGTACCCAGAGAGATGCAGAGAGTAACCTGGACACTGAGAAGAGACGCACAGCAGCATGGACATATCACACAAAGCTGAACAGAAGAGTCATGAGTACAGTCATGAGTGAAGGGTACAGCCATGATGGTGGGGAAGTAAAATACGGGAGTGTGAGGCAGCTGGTCCATAAGAGTCAGACTGTGGGGGTCCATTGACCTGTGTTTCAAGGCAGAGTGATTCCCCTACATCTTAGAAGAAACCACTTGCTTGTATGGCAGGAGACACAGGAGGAGGCCTTCTAGAGAAGAACCAGTGATCTTATCTCAATTTGGGTGCTGGTTACCTTATGCATTCAACTTTGTGACATTCTGTAAAAAGGCACCTCAGGTCCCCCATGTCTGGGGGTTGTGTTTTATCTCCTTCTGTTAAAGTGTTTAAAGGGAGCTGGAGAGATGGCTCAGAGGTTAAGAGTGGTTGCTGCTGGGCTGGAGAGATGGCTCAGAGGTTAAGGGCACTGACTGCTCTTCCAGAGGTCCTGAGTTCAATTCCCAGCAACCACATGGTGGCTCACAACCATCTATAGTGGGATCTGATGCCTTCTTCTGTCATATAGACAGGACACTGTATATATAATAAATAAATCTTTAAAATAAATAAATAGATAGGAAAATAAATGAATGAATGAATGAACGAATGAATGAATAAATTACATCAGAGCCAGGCAGTGGTGGTGCACGCCTTTAATCCCAGTACTCAGGAGGCAGAGCCAGGTGGATCTCTGTGAGTTCGAGGCCAGCCTGCTCTGCAGAGCGAGATCCAGGACAGGCACCAAAACTACACAGAGAAACCTTGTCTCAAAAAACCAAAAAATAAAAAGTAAAATAAAATACATTAGAAATAAAAGTGAGAGTCTGCCTCTGCTCATACACGGCACAGGTAAGGCTCTTACATTCCTATGCCCCTTCTAACAGCAGGCAACAAGCTGGCATGTCACATGCCACATTCTAACACTAGTCCTTTTTTTTCTTCTTCAATTCCATGCATTTCCTCGGCTCTTCCACCTTTTGTTGCCCTCTAACAAAATAAAGCTTCCTCCTGGCTCCACTCTCCCCCGCCCATGTGATTTACGGTGGCTATCTTCCAATTAAAACATGGCCCACGCATGTGCCCCAATCGCAAGCTGGGACTGGAGCCAGCCTGGCTGAGCGTGGAGATCGCACCTCGCTCTGGCTTGCAGGATTAGCAAAAGTCATTCCCCAAAGAGGCTGTAGACCCAGCCCACTCACATCGCAGCCACCCACACCCCAGGCACTGCAGGTCAGAGCACCGTGACCCGTGTGGCAGAGCCAGAGAGGCACCCCCAGCCATGCTGCACCCCAGTTCTCCACACAGAGCTGTCGGGCACCACAGGGAGTCCGGAGAGTTATCTGGAATGAGACCCAAGTCCTAAGAATCCCATGATGTCAACTACCCACCCTCCAACAATCTCCTGGACCACAGTCTGTGTCGCAAGCCATTGTCCACACTAGCCAGTTATTGCCTCCCCCACCATGACCCCCTCTACAACTAGTCAGAAGATGCTTCATTGCTGCTGATGTTGTGGGTACCCCAAAGCCACCATCCTGGAAGCCACGGTCTGTAATAGATTCAGATAAAAGAGGGACCATGTGACCACTGAGAGGCTCCCTGAGAGTATTCAATATAGACCTGCCTCTCCATTCCAGACTCTGCCCCATCCTCAACCTCCATCCATGGCCACACTCCCCAGAATTCCTGCTCAGAAGACTGATGTCTCTCTGCCCAGATACCCAGAACTGAACTATTTGTCCCTCTTCATGTTGGCCATCTGTGGTGGTTTGAAAGTGGCCCCCCAGAGGCTCACATGTTTGAATGCTTGGTCCTCAGTTAATGGAACTGTTTAGGAAGAATCAGGAGGTGTGGTTTTGTTGGAAAAGGTATGGCCTTGTTTGAGAAGGTGCGTCACTGGGGGTGGGCTTTGAGGTTTCAACAAAACCCTGCTAGTACCCCACCAGCAACTCTCACTCTCTGCCCTTTCTCTGCCTGCTACCTACAGATCAGAATATAAAGCTCTCAGCTACTGCTCCAGCACCATGTCTGCCTGGCTCCCACCATGATGATCATGGACTAACCCTCTAAAACTGTAAGCAAACCCCAAATTAAATACTTTCTTTTATAAGAGTTGCCTTGTGTCTCTTCATAGCAACAGAACTGACTAAAAGAGTCATATATTTCATTTACATGTGACTTGGTGGTGGGTTTTTTTTTTTATTTCCCATGTCACCATCAGTATGAAGGGGACTCTCATTACCAAGGCAATGAGCAGGAAGGTGTGCTCCTTTTTTGTTAAGTCTCAAGGATGACAGCAGATGCCCTGCTTGGTCCCCTGGGCTCTGTTCCTTATGGCGGCCAGAGGTTCTTCTCATGATGTAAAGCAGGTCATGAACCCTGAGCTTCAAAACCCTGCAGCGGTGCCCAGCCTAGTCTGAATAAAATCTGAGGTCTTTTCAAAAGGCACAGAGCCCTGGGAGAAGGCCACCCTTGGCCATCTTGCTGGCCAGGTGTCCCCACCCTTGCCCCCTTGCACAGTGGTGTCCCTGACCTCTATATTGACCCTTGAACACACCACAGTTGGCTGCCTGGGGATCAGGGCCAAGTCTTCCCTTCATCTCTCCATGACACACCCCACACCTCCTCTGGGTTCTGTTCCCCAGAGAAGCCCTCCTCCACTGACCTACCTAAAGGAAACTTCCAGATCCTACGCTGTTCTCCTGTTGGTGTTTATCATCTCCTGATGCAAAAGAACACCACGCTTTCAACAAGTCTGTCTCTATGAACAATGGTAAGCTTCAGAGAGCACAGACTGTCTCTGTGACAACTTGTCCCCAGACCCCGAACCTGCTCTCGGCAGGTGGCCAGGGCTTCCGGACCTGCTGGTGGACCCACAGGACACAGGAGCCAGAGGGGACTTTGGGAACTGGATGTGGTTCTGGGAATGTGTTCAGCCTGCACAGACTACCACCCCAGCCCTTCACATCTGCTCTCCTCTGCTTGGAAAGTTCTTCCCCAGACCCCTGCATGGCTCTTCTCATTCTTCTCATCTCGGGCCAACGGTACATCCCCAGACAGGCCTTCCCTCCAAGCATGTCTCCAGGTCCTCTGCCCCTCTCCCATCTCCTCCATCCCACAGTCCTCTTTCAACTCTTCCCCCTCACATCATGACCCACAGGAGCCAGGAATTATATCCGAGCAACAGGATGACATCAGAGACCCCAGCGTAACCTGGTCACATGCTCACTGCAACTGGGCCCAGTCACCTAGAAGATGAAAGGTCCTCTATGGAGGTTGCAGGGCTCATAACCCAAGCATCCGTTGGCATTCGTTAGCTCAGGTCTGCGCGTGCGTGCCTGCGTGCGTGCCTGCGTGCGTGCCTGCGTGCGTGCCTGCGTGCGTGCCTGCCTGTGTGCCTGCCTGTGTGCCTGCCTGCGTGCATGCAAATATGTGCCGGTGAGCAGAGCATGTGCTGGAATGGAACTCAGGATACTTGCTCACTGGTAAGCACTCTACCACTGGGATCCACCCCCAACCCTGGTTCCAGACTTTCAGATAGGCGAGCCCCTGGCTTTGACATTCATCTGGCCTTGGGTAGGGTTGCAATGGTGTGTGTGGCTGTGAAGAAACCCAAGGCAGCGTTTGGTTTGTTCCCTCCTCTCGCCCGTGGGCCTAGAGCCTTTCTCAGCTGGGTGGCAAGGCTTACATCAGAACGAGCCCTGGGTATGTTTTCTGGCCACGGAAAAACATCAGGGCTGGGGAGGTGGCGCAGTCCGTGCTTACCATGCAACCATAAAGGCCCGAGTTTGATCCCCAAACCCGTGCAGAAAAGTCAGGTATGGCAACCCACTCAATCCTGTGCTTGGGAGGTAAAGACGAGGGCAGCCCTAGGGCTCATTGGCGGGACAGCCAAGGCTAGCCCACTCTGTTCACCCCAACCAGTGAGAGGCCCTGTCCTGAAAAAAAAAAAAAAAAAAAACAGGGTGGCATACATCTTTAATCCAAGCACTCAAGAAGCAGAGGCAGGAAGATCTCTGAGTTCAAGGCTAGCCCGGTCTACAAAACAAGTTCCAGGACAGCCAGGGCTATGCAGAGAAACCCTGTCTTGAAAACTACCCACCCCATAAAAAAGTAGGGTGGGGCCTGCAGAGATGGCTCCGTGGTTAGGAGTACTGGCTGCTGTTCCAGAGGACCCAGGTTCGATTCCCAGAAACCACATAGTGACTCACAACTCTCTGGAACTCCAGTCCCAGGGGCTCTGATACCCTTTTCTGGTCTCCAAGGGCACCAGGCATGCCCACTATGCAGAAACATTGCATGCAAAACATTCGTATGCATAAAATAAAAATAAATCAATCTCAAAAAAAAAAACATTTAAAGCAAGGTGAACATCAGTTGAGAAAGACGTTTAACAGAGACTCTGGCCTCTACATATACACACACGTGTGTATGCTCAAACACTACACACACACACAGAGCAGCTATTTTCTGAGGTTTGAGATCCTAATGCCCAGAGTCACCCAGGGAGCTCATGGTTTCCATACTCAGAGTCCCTTTCATTTCCTCGGGTCCCCTGTTATCTGTCCCCAACACTTCCAAATTTGCTTACTTTCCTAATCCCTCCTCCGTGGGCAACTCGGGTGTTTATCTTGTGGGCTGTGCCTCTGTAGCTCATGTCTCCTCCCCGTGAGCCTTCATTAAAATATTTCAAATGAAGACCTTTCCTGCCCCCTCAAGAGAGCATGCTGGGTCTTTCCCACACAACACATTTTTTTAATTCTTATCACAGGACTTCAGGCAGTTTGTACATTATATCCTATTAAAAAACCTCAATTCCACTTGAGGTTGTCACAATCCGGAGATTACAGTGTTCTGCTGGGGATATATTCATACATTCACTTTGTTCGCCGGCAGACGCGGTGCGTGAGCCTGTATTTCACACCTCATTTGATACCACAATGAGACCCGACGTATAAAAAGAAGCAATTATTTATTTAGATTATGGAATGGTTTCAGAGGGATATTCGATTATGTAATGGTTTTAGACGGATATTCGTAGGTATAAACTGCCATGCTGGAGTACAGCTCCCTGCTGTTCTTCAGCCTGGAGCTGGAGTTGGGGGTAGGGAGGTGTCAAACATTGAGCATGAAGGAGAAGTACAGAAAAGGTCACTGGGATGGGAGCCCTTCTCATTTGCAAAACGGCCTCCTCTTTCCCATGTAGCATTTTTTAATTTTTTTTTTCTAGAGAAAAAAGAAAATCACAAAACCAAAAAGTGGCAACCACTTCTGAGGATCAGCACCCTTCTTTCCATGTGAAACACTGGACATGGGCTGGGGGAGATGGCTCAGGGGGTAAGAGGGGGCTTGCTGCAAAAGTCTGAGGACCTGAGTTCGAATCCCCAGCCTCCAGATAAAAAGCTGGCCATGGAACCCAAGCATTGTGGGGGTGTGGAGATGGGAAGATCATTGTGAACCACAAGCCAGGTTCAGTGAGAGACCCTTGTGGGGGTGTGGAGACGGGAAGATCATTGTGAACCACAGTGAGAGACCATGTCTCAAGGAAAGGAGGCAGCAACTGATAGGACATGACAACAGGCATCCTCCTCTTTCCTCCATGCCCACATATGTGCATATGTACCGCACACACAAAATGGAGTCACTCTGCCAATCAAGTATTGCTGGGGATGCTGTGAATGTGTTGCTCTGATTGGATTGATAAATAAAACGCTGATTGGCCAGTAGCCAGGCAGGAAGTATAGTATAGGCGGGACAAGCAGTGAGGAGAACTCTGGGAAGAGGAAGACTGAGTCAGGAGTCTCCAGCCAGACACAGAGGAAGAGAGATGTAAAAGTACTGGTAAGCCACAAGCCACGTGGCAACTTACAGATTAATAGAAATGGGCTAATTTAAGATATAAGAACTAGCTGGGTGGTGGTGGTGCACGCCTTTAATCCCAGCACTCGGGAGGCAGAACCAGGTGGATCTCTGTGAGTTCGAGGCTCACAGAGCCTGGGCTACCAAGTGAGTTCCAGGAAAGGCGCAAAGCTACACAGAGAAACCCTGTCTCGAAAAAAAAAAAAAAAAAAAAAAAAAAAAAAAAAACTAGATAGCAAGCGGCCTGCCACGGCCATACAGTTATAAGTAATATAAGTCTCTCTGTGTTTACTTGGGTCTGAGTGGCTGCGGGCCCCAGCGGGACTGGAGAAAACTCCAACTACAAAGTATTTCTACAAAATTTAATTCCTCAACATACACCATGGAGACCATCATCATAACCCCAGTGTCCCAGATGCAGAACCGGGGAACCCCACCCCTTTCAGACCAATGTCAGGATCAACGACATTACAGGGACTGGTGTGCTTTCCTCTTAACTCCTGCCACCAGCGCCATCAGTGTCCACAGGCTCTAGACCCCTCCCTGTTCCCACTCTGCCCAAGCCCTGGGGGCACTGATAGAAACCCTGGCTCTGAGTTGATCTGGGCGGATGTCCGAGAAGAGCCCAGGACAACCATCTGGCTCATAGCCACACTCAACCAGGAAAAACAACTACTCCGTAAAGTGACCGTGTGGTCAGAGGGGCACTGGGAGTTCCCGGCCACTACACTGCTCCCAGGAGGGAAGGGTAGCCAGAAAGGAACCAGGGAAGGAAGACAGGTTGAAGGGGAAACTCAAGAGTACCAGAGCCCCCACCTCTGATACAGACCACAGGGAGATGTGCTCTCCCGCTGTGGATATAAGCACACCAGCCCCCTGTACCAAGCAGAATCAAGCTACATCCCTGGGCAGAGCCCACCTTTAAAGAGTGTGGCCACTGTGCCCACTGACTACCCTCACCCTCCCCTCATGCCCTGGCCATGAAGCCCACCTCTACACAGCTAGAAAGCAACACGAGAAACTCACCTCCCAAGCCCAGCCTGTTCCTAGGCAGGGAGCCCTTAGTCTGTTACCTAGATCTTTTAAACCAAAGACTGGCTTAGGGGAGCTGAGGAGGGTCAGGGGACACTCCACTCCTTTCCAATGTTTAGATACTGCTGGGTGAAGTCTGTGATGGCTGGAAGAGCTGCAACCATCTTGTGGCCATGAGGAAACCAGCTGGAAGATCCCCAAGGGGCCACACCGGGGGCTGCTGTGTGAACAGCCCCTCTGCAAATGCTCTGTGAGACGGGGAAGCCCTTTACGGCAACCACTTTGGGGGAATGACCTGTGGCTTTGCAACTAGAAGCCCTTAAGCCAGTATTAACAACTCCAGGACCCAGGGTGCCCAGCAGGCCTATTCAGATATACAGGGAAAACCCGGCCATGTGATGTCACAGCCCACACTCCATCCAGGACACTGTCTGCCTGGCGGTGAGATTGACGAGTTCAGAATGGAAGGCAGCATCAGACCCCTCTGCCTGAGTCATTCCTCCTCCTGGGAGACCTTCAAAGGCAACACAGTCAGGCTCTGGGGTTGGCTGGGGTCACATGAGAAGTGACAGCCATGTGCCAGGCAAGTCCACGGGAAAAGCTCACACACACACACACACACACACACACACACACACACCGCCAGCCTCCGACCCCATTCATGGCCCACGCTGATTCATCACCAAGGCCAGAGTGTCTCCTGGGCCTCCAAGGACCCAAAGCTGGAGAAGAAAGAAAAGAGATCACGGACAATTTACAGTGATAAGTGGCACAGCGCCCAGGGCACTGGGTGGCATCTGAATTCAGCAGCCACTCCTCCAACACTGCTCCTTGGCCCAGGGTGGGAGACCGGCAGACAGACAGACAGACAGACGCACTCTCAGCGGGGGAAGAAAGTGGGAGCGGGGACTGGGGAGGGGCTGTCGAGTCAGGGATCTTTCCACCCTCTGCCACCTAGGTGGTGGAGCCCACAACCCCTCAGGAGACTCCAGAGCCCCACTCCCACCCCGCTCCGGGTGTGGGCTCAATGCCACAGAGACGGCTCATTTATTTAAATAGCCAGGGGCCTGAGATGGTTCAGTGGGTAAAGCTGCTTGCCTCTTATGCCTGAGGACTTGAGTTGAACCCCCTCCAGGGCTCATAGGGGAAGGGATGAACCATCCTCTGAAAGGTCCTCTGACCTCTACATGTACCATGACACCCAGATCAACAGACATAATAATAATAATAATAATAATAATAATAATAATAATAATAAATAATAATATTTTTTAAATTAGCAGTGAGAAAAAAATTAGCAGTGAGAGACAATTAGCTGATAGCTATGAGCACCCTGCTTGCTTATTAAAAAGCAATTTCTCCCTGGCTCTTTAATTGATTCACCCCTCACATACCCCACCCCACCCCACCCCCGTTTCAGCCTTCGGTTCTTCACGGAAACAATAACAATAGTAACAATATGGTTATCAGACTCCGAACTGTGATAAATGAAAGAGGGTCGTCTTGGAGACAGGCAACCTCACTGTGTACTGTGCATACAGGATGGACGGTCCAGGCTGCAGTGCATCCCTGCAGTGGCTACACCAGGCTGGTGAGGCGGAAGGGCGGTCCACACGCCATCCTGCGCGTTATTCCGTCACCCGCTGTCGTGTCCCGCACACCACAGCGCTCACCTGCTCTGTTTCTCCGGGTGGTGTCCCACGCAGGCCAGGGCTGCCGTGGTCTGGGTACCATCCTGCTCAATGTCCTCCTGCACTGCCCACTGGTTCTCGTTGCTCACCCGCACTGCCGTTATCTTCACGCCCGCGGCTGCCTTGATTCTGTGACAGAAAAAGTAGATGCGTAAGAAAATAGGCTTGCCGGGCGGTGGTGGTGCACGCCTTTGATCCCGGCACTCGGGAGGCAGAGGCAGGCGGATCTCTGTGAGTTCGAGGCCAGCCTGGGCTACAGAGTGAGTTCCAGGGAAGGCGCAAAGCTACACAGAGAAACCCTGTCTCGAAAAACCAAAAATAGGCTTTGCCTGGGCCAGGTCCATGGGAGATGGCATCTGCATCACACGGAGACCCCTTCCCGAAGGCTTTCCCTTAAGACTGATCTTAGGGGCAGCAAGATGGCTCGGCGGGTGAGGACGTTTGCTGCAAAGCCTAATGACCTGAGTTCAGCATCCGGAATCCACACAGTGAAAGACCCAACTCCCTCAAGCTGTCCGCTGACCTCCACACACCACCATGACAGAGGCACCCACCTCCACACGTACATAATAAAGAAATAAATGTAAGAAAAAAAATTTTTTTGTTTTTTCAAGACAGGGCTTCTCTGTGAAGCTCTGGCTGTCCTGGAACTGACTCTGTAGACCAGGTTGGCCTCGAACTCATAGAGATCCACCTGCCTCTGCCTCCTGAGTGATGGGATTAAATGTGTGCGCCACCACCGCGCCCAGGTAAGAAAAAAAAAAATTTAATGCTGATGTGTCCCAAACCATGCATGGTGACTTCTGTGAGTAAACTCTGAACTTGGAAAGCTGAGGCAGGAGAATTGCTACAAGTTCAGGGCCACACTGGGCTATGGAGTGAGACCCTGTCTCAAGAATAAATTCTCAAATAAATAAACCCTGGCCTTTTCACAAGTGACACAGCATGTTGCCACGCACCTCCACTTTCTGTCACTGGCTTTGAAATTAATAATATTATGCAAATTTTATCTTAATATTTAAAAAAAAAAGAGGCAAGGGCCCACAAGATGGCTCAGTGGGCAAAGACATTTACCAAAAAACCTGAAGACCTGAGTTCAAACCCCGGGACCCACATGGTGGAGGGAGAAGACAGAGTCATGTCATGTGACCTCTGAGCTCCATGGGTGCACCATGGTACACACACCTAACACATAGCCACTAAAATACAAATAACCAAAATAAAAAAAATTATATGAGCAGGGAGGAGGTAGGTAAGTGACCCATCCCAGGAGTGATTGAAATGTGTAGTGGGTGGGGGCATGATTCCTGCACTAAGACACCTGGGAGGCCCGGGAAGGACAAGAAAAGGACCCTTCCCCAGCAGAGTCTGCAACATGGGCGACATCTGAGCCCAAGACCCATCCTGAAGCCGCGCTCTGCCACCTGCTCTAAGGAATCTGGAGTGGACTCAGGGATGCCAACCCCTATGTGTCCATCAGACGCAAAGAGGGGACTCTGCCTCCCTCTCCCTTCCCGTGGCCACCCCAGCTCCCATCTGAACAGCACTCCAGAGGCTCCAATGCTACCTGTCTGCTACCCCGACTCCTGCATCTGATCATTCCTCCTGCTGGATTCTGGTCTTAATCTCCTCTTCCACGAAGCTTTCTTTCTTGACACCATGACATCCTAGGAGTTGATTTATGCACGCCATGAACAGAGGCGCCCTGTTCCATCCCTGCCTCCGGCCAAAGGAACAAGGGAAGAGAATGTCCCAGAACCCGTGTCTACATCCAAAGCTCTTCTCCCCGAAGCTGTGCCCTCTGCCCTGGGGGTCCTCACTATTATAACAACTCACATGGATCTTTCCCACACATATGATGGCTCAGAACCCTTCCATCAAGCCACTAGAGGTCATAGGAGAAATGAGAAGCAGTTGCAGGCTAGCCCACAGAGACCCCCGATGAGACCTGAGCTACACCAGGGAGCTTGAGAGTCCCTCATCCACAGTGGTCTTGTAGGGATTAAGGATGCTCACAGAGCCGGGCAGTGGTGGTGCACGCCTTTAATCCCAGCACTTGGGAGGCAGAGCCAGGCAGATCTCTGTGAGTTTGAGGCCAGCCTGGTCTACAGAGTGAGATCCAGGATAGGCACCAA